ATATCATCCTCCAAAAGAAAAAAAAATTACTTTTTTTTTTTTTTTTACATTAAAAATTTCTCATTAAGTGGGATTTATAATACACAATAAAAAGTACAAAAATAATTATTTTTATGATTCTAAATTGATATAAAAAAAAACAATATAAGATAGTATATATATATTTTTTTTTATTATACTTTTAATGTAAGAACTTTTCTTTTATAGTGTTCGCATTTAGAAGTGCATAATTTTCTCTCATACCTACCATTAACAAAATAAAACATTTTACTTAATCTATTTGTTAAATATAATTTAGAACATGTTGATAATACCATTTATAGACCATATTTTGAATAGACAAATAAATAAAGAGCATGCAGAGAAAACTCTACTTTATTTATCATTAAATTAAGTAGATAATTATATACCTCATAAATAATTATGTATTTACAAAAAACTAAACATATTTATTTTATATTCCATGGCTCTTATTCTATTTCTTAATAGGTTTTATAAAACTATTAAAAAAAAATTATTACATTATACATTCCACGAAAAAAAGAAAATAAAAATTATTTTTTTAGAAAAAAATATAAAATTAGTTTTTTTTATAATTTTATTATTACTATTATCATGCATATTTTATAAGCATAGCTCTGATATATTTCAGGAGATATATGTTTTTCTTGTTAAATTATTTGTGTTTTTTTGTGTATACAAAATACTGTTACATATGTCTTTATATGTATCTCCACACATGTCTATTAACTATCTTGCATACATAGATAATTATTTAAAATAAGCCACTATCATTATAAAAATTCTTAAAAAGGTTAATGAACTCTTTTATTGACCATTACATCATATGCACAAATGATAATTTAATTATTTTTATATTCATTCTTATTTTAATTAAAAATAGATCCATAATACTAATTATTGATCAACACTTTTTAGGATACACATTAAAACTTTATTTTATTTTTCTTTTGAATCACATTTTTATTTATTTTTTAAACGCTATTATATATATATATATATATATATATATATATATATATGGAACGACAATAATAATTTTTTATTGATAGCAGAATTAATTGATAAATGATTAGTTATAATAGAAATATGAACATTTACAAGAATTAATTTTTTTATAAAATATAAAGTTTTCATATTATCAAATATTTGTAGATATTAAATATTTATGTTTTAATATATATAAGGATTTTATCAAAATATATAAATAATATAAACTGGATAATGTATTAAGCATAATAAAGTGGTGAACTAATATTCTTTTCAATTAAAATATTGTGAATATCATATAAAATAATCTAATTATTCTATATTATGTAGTACAATAAAGTAAATATTATATATTACTTACTAATTTTGCAATAAATAAAATTAATAGATATCTATCTATATTAATTTGAATGTTCAATATATGATTTATTAGTTGATGATTTAATGACCTCTTCAGATTGTCAAATATTCAAATTAATGAAAAGGATTTATAGTAATCTCTAATAATTTGCTTAATTACAAAATAACCTTTATTTGTAAAAATATATATATACATCTCCTAAGTTAAGAAAAAAATTACTGTGAAATAATGTAATTATTTCATACAATTTATATAATCTACCAATAAAATATATATTAATATTTTATTATTATTTTAGATATTACTTAATTAAAGAAAAATCTATATAATTCAATAAAATTTTCTGTACTTATATAAAAAAAATACAAAAAATACTTAACATAAATTTTCAAAGAGCAATTATTAATACATTACGAATAATAAAATTATAATTAACCCCAAATATTATAATTTTTTCCATAATACATAACACTATCCCTCATTATAAAAAATTAATAATAACAATTTTTAAAAATAAAAAAAAAAAAATTTTCTAAGCACACAGAAAAAAAATCTCTTTAATAAACACAAGAAGAATTTTTTCTTCCTTTTTTTTTAAATATATTCTTTTAAATATCTTATATAAATAATTAAACTTCTCTGTTGCGATTCATTGTATGAGCAATTCAAAGGAGTTGATGATATTTCTTATTAACTATAATACTTCATTGATATTTAAGCAAGTAATTAATATATTATTAATTTAATTTTTAATTACAAGTTATTAGTTATATCTTTATTCAAAGTTATGTCACTTTCTCTTGTGAATAAACTTGTGGTAAGGATTGCAGTATATTATATATACCAACCTTATATAAATCATACATTTTTACCTTGTTAAAAAAAATTAGGAACATTTAAAATAAATTTCTACAAATTTTTTATGTAAACCAGGTGGTACATAAGACACTTTAATCTTTATAATATCAGTGTTCCTATATATATTATACTCATATAACTAGTCAAATATAAATATATTAATATATTTAACTATATTGTTTCATTACTTTATTAATTATGATACACTGCTAATTCAATGGAATTGTTCCAGAGTATATTCAATTACTATCACTTTTACCAATTAGATAATCATTTTACTTTTTCGATATATATAAAGGAATGGATAAATCTTGTTAAAAATCAAGGAGAGAATTTTTTACTGTGTTTATTTTGTAATTAATATTTTTATAATGATATTATAGCATAAATTTGTTAAATGTTCAACTAATTTATGTAAACTTCTACATATAGTACTTATATAACTTATAATAACCATTTTATGAAATTAAAGATATGATTAATTAATTGGCTTCTCAGATATTTTTATAGTAATTTAAACAGTCAAATTAATAAAGAATATATATGGAATTTCTATTACTTTATCTATTATAATATCATTTACTATCAATAATTATGAATTTCTTATTATATTTAACTACATAATATGAAATAACTTATTTGGTTTTATACTGAGAATCCTTAAATTAATTATATGTTAAATAACTATTTAACATTTTAATATCATGAAAAATTTATTACTATGTTTATAATGTTTTTACAATTAATTAATTACTCAAAATATATTATTACTTTTTATCGCTTGTCATTTCATCATTCACAAAAAAAAATATATCTCAAGTGTAAACAAAAAAAAATTAAATATATATAAATATATATATATATATATATATTTTTTTTTATTGTTTTTAATATGAATAAAATATTTATTTAAATGCATATATTTTAGGAAGTTCATTTTAATGCATGTATTTTCTCAATTTTCTTACATACACAAACGATCAACTTTTAGCTATGTTCTATTTTATATTATTAAAATTTCAAAAGTTTAGTATTAATATTTATTGTTCAGAATGAATTATATCTAATATTAATATTTTTCCTTGATATATTTTTTTTTTTCTAATTACAGTACAACTCAAATATTTCTCTTTTTATACTTTTTTATTAACAATTTTTAATAAAAAAATAATTTATCAGGTAAAATATTTTTATTTTTAGCTATGATTTGTTAATTATCTGTTCAAATCTTTTGTAGAATATTAAACAGTCAAATTAATAAATATGTATAGTGTTATAATTTTATTTATTATCTAAATATCTTTGTAATGAGTACTTAAATTCAAACGTTAATTCAAATAATTAAGTAAATTTTATGTAATTAAATCATATAATATGAAATAAAGAATTTGTTTTATTTAATATTTATTATTCTTAAATAAGAATATCTTCTATATTTTTTTTATTCTTAATGCATAAATTATTTTATTGAGAAATTTATTTAATAAAAAATTCTTCGTATTCTTATTAACATCTAAATTATCAATATAAAAACCTTTAATTATATGTAAAATAATTTATATTTTCTAAAAATTTGTAATTTTCTAATAAAATAAATATTAACTTTTATAACATTTTATATCAAAAATTAATTATTTCTCAGTTAATTTATTAAAAACTAGATAAAATAAAAAGCAAATAAAATACTATTCTTAACAAATATAACACAATAAAAAAAAAAAAAAATAAAAGACTGTTTTAACATATACAACTAATAAAAAAAGCAAATAAAATTCTTTCAAAAAAAAATAACATTTATATAAGTATTAATATCAGTATGATAATATTTTTAAACTATATTATTAAGATATTTTCTTAAATATCCCTAAAAAGTACCTAACTCTTTGCATTATATTACCACTTTAAGTATTTAAAAAAGTATATAATATTTTTACTAACAAAACTAAGATATTATCTGTTTATGCGTATTTTTGCAAATGGTCCATGTATTTAATTGAATTTACATATTATACTATTAATTTGTTAAATAAATGTTCATGTACTTCGATAAAATATTCAATAAAAAATTAATAAAGAGCATATATAGTGGTGTCAGCGATTTTTATCTATTGCAAATATTATTTTATATATAAATATACTTTATATAATTGAATAACATAAAATAAATAGTTAATTTCATTCAGAATCTATAATTTTTTAAATAAAAGTATGTTAATGTCTGTATTATTCTTCATGTAGTACTTTGTAATATGCATTTATTTAATTCAATAAAAATTTATAATTATTTTTGTTTAATCTTAAATATTTGTATTAAAAATCTGTAATTCTCCTTATATTAATATTTATATATAAAATAACAAATTTCTATTAAAAATTGTTAATGCCACTTTTAGAAATTCTTCAATTAAAAATTAAAAATAAAAGCTCTTTTAGTTCATTTTTCAATAGCCAAAAAAAAAAAAAAAAAGGAAAAAATAAATCCTTATTTTTTTTTTTTTTTTCTTTGAATATTAAACGAAATATTAATAAAAAGAAAGGTATAACATAAATAAAAGAAATTAAAATTTTTCTTCTTCATGAATTCAGTGACCTACCATTATTTCTTCTTTAAATTATCAATTTAAATTAATTTTCTAAAATATCAACGTTTATAGCTAATTTTTTATTTTATTTACAATTTATTAACTATTATATTATAAAAAGTAATATCCTTTATTAACTAACTAGGCATCATAATTTTATGTATATAAAAAAACCAAATAACCCCATTTTATCTCATATGGCTTTTTATATAATCTCTATATGTTAAATACATTACCTTTCTGAACGAACTGATTGCTTTTTCCTTATCTGCTTCGGACAAAATTAAACCTCGTTGCTTTGCCTCTCTTTCAACTGTAAGTTCTGCAAATTCTCTTGTTATCATATTCTCTTTTACAAAAAGAGAAGATTTATTAAGTTTCTCAATATTTTCATCTTGTATTTCATGCAAAAAAATGTAAAATTCATTTAAGTGTTTATATTTTGATAAATCATCTTTTTTTTTAGGTAAATCCGATTCTCTTGGTTTCTTTGGTTTTACCCAATGTTCATCTTCTTGATATTCTGGATGTTCATCTCGTTTTTCTTCTTCTATTTCTCTCTGTTCCTTTCCTTTTTTTTTTTTTATATAGAGACTTATTCCTACACCTGAGGCAATTGCAAGTGCCAACCCAGTAACTAAACATGATATCAAAATTATTTTCTTTTTTTTTTCTCTTCCTTGAAGTATATGATCAATCTTTTGTAATTCATCATTTTTGGAAGAGTTAGATGTGTGGACTTTAGATAAACATGATTCAAGCAAGTTGATAACTAGTAATAAATTAAAAAAATAAAATACCTTTAAAATTTTCATCGTAATTTAATTAAAAAAAAAATAAACATAAATATAGTTCTTTCTTACAATGATTATTATGTAAATTGATAATGTATTTTTATAGTTACATATATATATATATATAGTTGTAAAAATTTTCACTTTATTAAGAATATTTATGTTTTAAAAAACAATTCAATTGTCTATTTCATTTAATAATATTTTATTTAAATAAAAAAATTTTAAAATAAAAAAAAAATATTATATTATTATAAAATAATTTAACTTTATATTTCATTAAAAATATTTTTCTATTTGCATGAAAAAATTTAAAAAAAAAAAAAAAATTTTTTTTTATTATAGATATGTTGACTATCTTATTAAAAATATTTATTTGCATGAAAAGATTAAAAAAAAAAAAAAATTAATACTACTATAGAATAATCTAGTTTTTTATTTTATTAAAAATATCTTTTTATTTGCATGACAAAATTAAAAAAAAATTTATAATTCTATAAAATAAAATTCTATTTTATTAAGAGTATTTTTTTACTTGCATGAAAAAATTAAAAAAAATTTATATTATCTTAGAACAATTAAACTACTTTATTTATATATACCTTTTATTGTTCTAATAAAAACATTTAAAAAAAAAAATAATTGATAATTAACAAAAATGTTTATTTTTTTCCCCTCATAATAAAATATAAAACAAATTTAACATTTTATAAAAAAAATATACTTTTAAAAAAAAAAAAAATTAAAATTCATTATAGAAATTAAAAATATATAAAATTTAACCTTTTTTTATATACAATAATCTATATGTTTTGCATTTTCATTCATGCATTTATAAATATTTTATAGAAAGATATGGCTTAAAAATAGTTGTAACGAAAATTTTTTTTCATTACAACTATATCTAGAATTAATATAAGTAAAAAAATATAATTATAATAACAAATAAATTATGTTAACCATATTATAAGCAAGATATTTTTTTAATTTTTTCCTTTTTTGTTTTTTTAATTTAATTACCAATTATTTTAACCAAGGAAATAGAAAATAAAAAAAATTGTATTAATTTAATGTAATATGAAATGTTATTAAGAAAAACATGTATGTTGTATATATTTGAGGAAGATGCAAAAGCTTTTAATATATATATATATATATATATATATATATATATATATTTATTAAAATATGTTACTTATAAAGTATAAGCAAAAATAAAGTTATATATTTTCAATGAATAAATTATGAATTGCAAATATTTCGAAGTATACATATCTTTTCAAAAATAATGAACAATCAGAATTATTATTTATATAAACTTCATGTAAAATCTTATATGTTTACAATTTATTACAAAATTTATATTTAAAACATAAATAAATAAAAATAAAAAACAAAGGTGTTATTTTATGATTTTTTTTATTAGTTAAATTAAAAATTTTATTTCTTCAAAAGATTAAAAATTAAGAAAAAGAATTAAATTTTACATGATTTAAAAATATATTCCCTACCTCTAAATTTATTTATGGTATATTTTTCAATTTTCAAATTTAATATTTTATAAATTAACCCTTCCAATTTTATTTTAAGTATTTTTATTTTTTTAACTAGCATTTTTTTTTTTTTTTTTGAAAGAAAAATTTCATCTAAATAAAAATTAAAATAAATCTAATAAGCTAAAATATAATAGAAGTTAAAAAAAATATATTTATGTTATATAATATATAATAATAAAGTTTTATTAGTATTTTATAATTTTTTGATTAAAATATAATATTTTCTTTTTTTTTTTTTTTTTTCTTATTTTCTATAATTTTCATAATTTTTTATTATATAATGAGGAAATTATATGAATTCGACATAAATTTCAACAGCTTTATTTCTTAGTAATAATAAGGATTAACTTAAATTTCATAATTTTATTACATACAATTCATTATCATCATTGTAATCAGGTTTATTAGATAAATCATAACGTCACTATAATAAGATAATTTGCATCATTATTACTTTTATATTTTTGAAGAACGTATATAATTATCAGTGTAAATGTAATTTTAACAATTATTATAATTATTGAAGTTGCATTATTTTTCATCTATTTTACACTTTTTCCATCTTTCATTATAGAAGAAAAAAACTTTTTTCATTTTAGTAGAGCATTTGAAATAATTATAATTTTATATTTATATAATTATACGAATAGCTCAATATTCTATATTTTTTAAATCTCTATATTTCATACAATTGTATTTATTATTTATATTGTTTTTTCTATTTTTTAAACGATTATTTTAATTATTAGAATTATTTATGAATATAAATAAAAGAGCATAATCTCTAAAAAAATTAATATATTATAATAACATTATTAAATCTTGGAAATAAAAAAACTAAAAAATAGTATTCATATTATTTTTTTTTTTTTTTTTGTATATATTAAGCTAGTTGTTTTATTGAATTCACTTTAAAAAAAATAAAAAATCTGAGTTTATTTTTCAATTCATGTTTTATTAATTACCCATTCTAATGTTTTTGTAATGTTATGAATAGTCAAATTAACAAAAAGTATTAAAAAAATTTTCCACTAATTTTATTTATTATTAAAAATTTTATATATAATATATAAACCTTATAAGGGTGTACTATGTAAGATGAAATAAGTAATTTATGTCATATAAAATTTATTGTTTTTTAATTTTGCGTTAAATAGATATTTTATTATTCTTAATATATCAAGAGTTTATAACAGAACTCCTATTTTTTAACAAAAACTATTATTTCCTTTTATGAAAACTAAAATAATATTTACAAACATTTGATAATACAATATACATTTCCTGTTGAATTATTAATTAATTATTTAATTACTTTAAGTATTAAACAATAAAAATAATAAAGAGAATATCAAACAAATTCTATTTTATTTACTAATTATAAAATTTCTTATAAAAAAGGATATATATATGGGAAGTAATTAAAATACTGGATATGAAATAGTAATTTTATTTCAAATAACATTTACAATACAATAATGAAATACATTTTAAACTTTATTTTACTATTATTTTAAATTCTAATTATTAAAGAAAGGTTTATATAATTCATTAAAAAAAACTTAAAAAAAGTTTATAAAATACTTAACATACATTTTCACTTAAATCCTTGTTATAAAAAATAATTATGATTTATTAAACATAATTTTGTAATATTAATCAAATATTTGTTTCCAAAAAGCATATACTTATAAAAAAAATATTGAGAAAAAAAATTTCTCCTTGATACACAGGAGCATTATTCACTTTAATAAAATATTTCTTATAAAAAAATTATACCTATATAATTGAATATCATACACACGTAATTAAACATTTACCTATATTTAATTTGTGTATTATTAACCATAATAATCGATAATGTTATTAAATGACCAATAGTAAAAAGTAAAATAACATTAAAACTATAATAGTGTCTACTTAATTTATTAATTACTTTCTCAAAAATTTTATAAAATGTTGAACAACAAATTAATATAAAGCATGAAAAGTGGCTTCTTGAGATAGTATTTTTATAAAATTATTTACTATAGATAAAAAATGATTTTTATATAATTTTGATAGATAACTTAATTTTATATTCAATTTAAATATCTTTTAATTAATTTTGTATTAAACAAATATTTTGATACTCTTAACATCTTAAAATATTATAGAAACGTTCATATTGTTTAACAAAATTATTATTTAATCTTATTAAAATATAAATATTCAATATTTGCATATGTCTTATAAAAAAATATAAATAAAAAATGATCAAAAATTGAACTTCATGAAAATTTTATTTCTCTCTTTCACCAATCATTTATAAATTCTAACAATAAAAAAATTATAAAAAAAAAAATTTTTCTCCATATGCTTTGTGTATTCCTTTTCATAATTATTAATTAATGGCTCGTTTAATGACTTTGATAATATTGAATATACAAATTAATAAAGAAACGTAAAGAAAACTCAATTTAAAATATAATAAATTATTATAAAAATTATTTTTTTGTTAATCAATATTAATTTTTAACTTAATTATTTAACCTAATTTACAAAATGCTCTATAAATGAAATATTTAACATTATATTTTTAATTTTTTACAAAAAATATATACACACTATTTTCATAAAAAAAATTAAAAAAAAAAATAATTTATTTATGCATTATTTTTTTTTTTTTAAATTATAGTCATGTATCAAACAAAAAAAAATATAAAATACATGTTTGTTTCTTTTCATTGTAAATTCACAAAAAAAAAAAACGATATATATATATATATATATATATATATATATATATATATATATATATATATATATTTTTAGTATATATATTTTAGTTTAAAAAGTAAATATTTTTTTCTTTTTTTTTTTTTTTTTTTGTATATATGTTTAGCTATGGAAATTTTTTTCCCCCATATGTATTACATATAAATAAAAATATTTTTACATTATTTTTTTAAATATTATTTAAAATATGTCAATAATACCATTTAAAGGCAAAATGACTAACGTTTACAACTTAACTTTTAGCTATATTTTATTTCATTATATTGAAAGATTAAAAAGGTATATAATATTCTTTAATGATTATTACTTAAATTAAAAAAAAAATAACAATAATAAAAAATACTGAAATAAACATTATATATGTAATTAAAAAATAATAAACTATATAAACAAATGAAACTAAAAAAATGGTCATTGTGAAGACAAATTCATTTGAATTTTCTATAAATTTTCCTATGAAGTTCTTTTTTTTCTTATGGAAATTCAATCTCTATAATTAAGTTTATATTATAAACGATTTATATGCTAATAATGTGTTTAAAAAGTTATATTAAATCAAATACTTGACCTTAAAAAGAGTTTAAACGTTGAGAAAAAAAAATTTTCAAGTAATTGCAATTAATGATAATTCCACGTTAATAATATATGAAGAATATAAACAAAAAACAATAGGGAAAAATCATTGATAATTTCTCAATAATATTATTTCTTACATTTTTAGTTAATATGTTTAAAACAAAACAAAACTTTTTTCTTCTTTTAATCCTTTAAAAAAAGTATAAAAATATTCAAAGGATAATTAGAAATAAAATAAATAAAAACATATAATTTAGATTTAAAAATTTTTAATTTTATAATTTTAAAATTATTTATTGACCATTTTAATACATTTGTAGTATTTTAAATATCTAAACTAATAAAGAAGACCAAGAGAAATTTAAACTTCTTATAAAAATAATTATTATGGGTAATTATATATTTTTTATAAAATTAAACTGTATAAGGTATGTATATTTAATTTTTATCTTATTTTTTTTGTTAATCATATATTCATTTGTCTTTTATTATTAACTGTTGTTTGTTGTATTTTTAAACTTAAATCATTAAAACTTCAACGTTATATAAAAATAAAGAAATAATGTCTTTTTTTTAAAGTTAGTAATCACATGTTTTTATTCATTTTTTCAGAAATTATTATATATATATATATATATATATACAAATATATTTTAATATAGTTATCTTACTATATATATCTTTAAGTGTTTTTACAAACATATCTATTATGCACATCTTTAAGAGTTTACTTTTAGAATATCTTACATGTGCTAGAAACTTTTATACGTAATTTTTTATCATATGAAAATTTCAAATAAATAAATTATATCTTTTATTCACCAGTTAATAAATATAATATCATTAACTTATATTTTATGTGAAAAATGGCAATTATTTTTTTAAATATTTATGGCGCTATAGGCTTTTTTTTTTTTTTTTTATAATGTAGGTTATTTTGTAATTAAGAAAGTAAAAAGGTACTATTTTATATTCTCTATTAATCTATTTAGCATTTATGAAAACCAAATGAATAATCAACTAGTAGATAAAGTGCTCGAATATCAAACTGTTTATTTTATATACAGCTATTATTTTTTATTCTTCTCAAAAACGTTAATAATACCTTTTATTATCCACTGTGAGATTAAAATTTTAATTTATATTATTTTTACTTTAATTTTTATTTTTTTAATCTTCATTACGATTATAAAGGGATAAAAAAAAAAAAAAAAAATTAAAATATAATTATTTTTTTTTTCTATAACTACTAATAAGTAATTTTAGTAATTTATTTATTGACTATTCAAAAAATGTTACATAGAGAAAACAAATTAATAAATATTTTGCTAGTGGTACCTAATAATTTTATTTATTATGTATATACTTTTTCAAGACATAATTTTGTGTAATTATTATATATATAATGAAATAAATAACTTATATATAATGTTTATAACTCGTATAATATGTTTAATTAATATTTTATTTATTCTTAATACACACACTAATTTATCAGACATGTAAAAGTTTTTATAAAAATATCACTTAACCTTATTAAGGCGTAATACGTTGTTTTTATAAAAACAATTGATTGTTCGTAATATAAAATCCTATAACAATTAATAATTTTCGTAAATAAATTCTTAAATTTTTTTGAATATTTCTCATTTATTTTATGAAAATTCTCTTTAGAATTTTTTTTAGGATAAACATAATATTACCTAATTTTTTACCGTTTTAAAATTGCAAAAAATATAATTAACAAAAATTATGTTACAACTAAAAAAATAAATTAAAATTTTGTTTATACATAAGAATATAGAACAATTTTTTCTATAGTTAATTGAAATATTATCTCATTTATGATGTATGTACAGCTAACTTTTAATTATGTTTACATTTTTATATTTATTATTTTATAAGATATTTATGATATCTTTTGTTATCTTTTATATCTTAAGTATATATATTAAACTTTTGCTTATTTTTTTTTTTATAATTTTCACGTAAACCATGATATACTCCACTAAAATTCATTAGTAATATTTAGTCATAATGCTACATATCAGAAACATGAATCTATAATTTTAAAAAATTATTCTAAGTAAATTTTATTTTGTTCACGGTATATATTTATAGAAAGATATTAAAATTGTCTATTTTTTAATAGAAAGTCTTTTAAATAATGTTTTCATATGTAAAGGAATTAATTATCAAAAAATAATTTTTGCAAATGTAATAATTCAACGTTATTTTATTTTATTCTTTTTTTTTATGAAAGTTCATTAAAAATTTTAACTCTTCATATTTAATCAATAGTATGTAATATCAATCTCATATATATTTAACATTAAAAAAAAATAAAAACGATTATCTTTTTTATAATCTTAGACAATAAATATTCTTCAAAATATTTTTATATAAAAATTAACATATATACCTATATTTTGCAAAAAATATTTATATAGAAGGTATTCTTATTTCCATATATATATATATATATATATATATATATATATATATATATATATATATATATAATACAACTTTGCTGAATCTCTTATTTATTACATATGTCTATAGCTTTTTTCATATAATATAATGAAGACAATATAATATATGATTTATGACTCTTGTTTCCATTAAAAAACTTTAAATTAAAATTTGTTTCATCAAGTGAATGTTCAATCATCTTAATGCCACTTACAATTTTGGTTAACTGATTTAGTTTCCGTAATACTTTAGAGTGTATATCTAATATTTGTAATTTTACATTATTTAAAGAATAAATAGATTTTATATTTAATTTGACTTTTTTAAGAATATTTTTAAGATTGTTCAATTGCGTTAATAAAGTTAATTTCATTTTTGCACTTAATATTTTATTTGTTTTCCGTGAGATACTTTTCTGTCTAGAAAAATTCATTTTTTTCAGAGAATTTAATACAGATATAATATTTCCTACTTCTCTTTTAAGAATTGCTATTCCAAATAGTTTTTCTGTTTTTATTAAAATATGTCTCAATTCTCTTAATGTTTCGGAATCCACTGTAATTCTTTTTAAATCAGTAGTATTTAAATTAAAAAGTGAAAAAGTGTGATCACGCATTTCTGAAAAGTGTTTTATTTGTATTAGTAACAAATCATGCGTCATTTTTACAGAACTTTTATTATTATGTTTATCCATAATGTTTTCTATAAATTTTACGTACATTTTATTTTCTCCATTAAGGAAGTAAAAAATATGTTCTATTAATATATCATTGTCTTTTTTTGAAAAATTCATCATATTAAGATATCTTAAGAACGTATATGAATGTGCATATAAAGATCTATTCAATTTAACGTTAATTTTAGATAAAGAACTTTGAATATTATCTATCATTGTTTTTTTTTTATATATAAATCCATTTTTAATTGATGATTCAATAGAGGTTATTAAATTATTCGTATTTTTAAAAACTTCCATAATAGAATTTGAGTTTCTTTCTTCTAAAAACACTGAATCACAAGAAAAAATATCAATAGAATTCATATTATCTATAGTTTTTTTTAAACTAAAAATAGTTTTTTCTGAAATTATAAGTTGTTCTAATAGTTTTTGATAAAATTCTGAAGAACTCTTTATAATATTAACTAGTTCTACTTTTTTATTAATTGAATAATATGTATTGCCTTTAAATAATAAATATTTATCATAACTATCTAGTAATTTTTTATCTATTATGTCAGGAAAATTATTATGTTTTTTTTCCATTTGCAGCAAAATATTAAAATCTATTTTTTCTATTTCCTCATTTATAAGTAACTTAAGTGATTGTATTTTTTTATTAAATTCTTTAGTAATGTCATTATAATCTATTTTTATAGAACTCAATATATTCTCAGAACGTGGAATTACTTCATTTGAAATATAACTAAATTCATTTTTAAAAGAATCATGGGAAAATATGTGGACAAATTGTTTAAGATCAGAATATTTATATATGTCTGTTGCTGATTTATTAATTAAACAAGTTGAAGTATTTTCATCTTTTTTATTAATATCCTCTTCATTACTGCAATTTGCTTCAAATGCTTCGTTACTTTCTATTTCCTCCATTGAATTGCTCATTTCTGGTTGTATGTCATTGGAATTGTCTAATACATAACTAAAAATAAAAAAAGAGTACATTAATAAAAAGTTTGTAATTAAGTAATATAAATTATGTAGTAATATATTTAAATAATAAAAAAGTAAATAAATACCGATTAATAAGTGAATCTAGGGAATCTTTTAATCCCTCAATAGGTTCTAGGAAATTAAGATTAATATCTTTCAAGTCATCAGATAATTCATTTTGTATATCTTGTAAATCTCCTGGAGATCTCATAATTTCACCATCATTTGCATTATTTATATCATAACTAAAAATAAAAAAAATTATATGTATAAGTAAAATATTTAAATCAAAATGATTTGTAAGTTAAAATATTTACTTATTTGTAAATAAATCAAAAGAAAAATTGTCCAAGAAAAATTCCTTATTTATATCATTTTCTTTTTGATTGAAAGTTTTATCATCACATATTTGACTTGTAAGGCATTTTTCAATTAGCATTTTATTTGGACTCATATTTGATCGTTCATAATCGATATATGTATCATAACTAAAAGTAAAAAGATATACAAATATATGTAAAATATTTAATTTAAATAAAAAATATTAAAATTCTAATACAAAATTAAAAATTTTTGAATTCATACATAACACTTCTTGAAGTACTACTACAACCTGGAGTATCTTTATTACTTTCATGTGATAAATTTTCTACATTTGTATCTTTTTTTTTATTAAAAATATTTCCATCTATTAGATCTTCTACATTTTCCTGAGAATTTTTTTCCATTGAAGCTTTGTAATTTTCCTGTCCATCGTTATGGCTAATATCTAAGTAAATACTAAAAATAAATTGTGTTATACAATTTTAATTAAAAAAATAAAGAATTTAAAATAATACACAAAAAATATACCTTTCTAAAAATGAATCAACAACAGGTATTTGAGAGTTATTAGATGAATTTTCCAAGTTAAAAGAAGGATTTAATTCCTTATAAAATTCATCATGATCTTCTATTTCTGATCTTTTATCCAATAAATTGGATTTCTCATAACCATTAATAATTAAAGAGTCATATCTGCAAACAAAAAAAAAAATATTATATATAATAAAAAAAACATGTCAAAATATCTAAAAAATTATAGCTATTTTTAATTACAAATCTAAAATTTCTTTGTGTATTTGATCTTCTGAAATGCATATGTTAGTTAACACAAAAAATTGTAAAAATAAAAAGAATAATCTATACATGTTCAATTTAAATATATAAAATTTCTATTTTATTATAAATAGTTAATAAGCTAAAATTGTTAAAATTATTCTTTCTTATATAATTAATTGAATTTAATTTTTATTTTAATATTTAACAAACTTTTACCCTTAATTAGAATTTTGCTCTTTACATTTTACACGAAAAAAAATAAAGAAAATTTTTCTTATTTTTTAAGTTATTTATATAATTATATATAAATTGTTACATTTTTAGGTCAAAACATTTTTTAAGTTTGAACAAATTTTAAAAACCAACATGAGGATATTTATATTAATGAAAAAATTTAATATATTTATTTACCTTTTTAGATCTAATAATTTACTTTCTTGAGTTAATGCAGAATATTATATAAATATAACTGAAGGAGTTATATGAATTTATTTTTTTTTATATAAGCATAATTATTATAAGTAACATACAGAGATCGCACAAAAAAAAATAAAGAATTTTTTTAAAATAGTATTTCTGCCTTTTTTTCAAATGTAACTGATATTTTTATATTAATTATTGTGTTTACTTTTTTTTTAAATAATATACACTATTTAAAAGAACTATTTATTTTTACTTAATTTTTTTAAGTTTTTTATTTCATAAATACTGTATTTGTAACTTTTTTTTTTTAACATTTTTCCATAAAAATTAAATAATTTATTCTATAAGAATAGAAGTAAAAAGAAAATTTAATAGATTAATGCATAATCAGAGTGCATGCGATATAGGTTAATTGTAAACTATTTGTTTATTCTGAATGTTGCAAAATATAAAATAATCAGATGCAAAATGTTCGACTCAAGTATATATAACATAAAAAGTAATTTTTTCTTTCTTTTTTTCCAATACTTTTATATGCTTATAGTCTCTTTAAATCTGTTACTACTACTTTTACTTCATGATGAAGGTATAAATAATTTTGTATTATCATTGTATAATAGGAAAAATATGAATAATTTATATTCATCTTCATATGTCATTAAGAAAGCACTTATGTTGGTAACTTGAAAGAAAAAGTTATATTTCATTTAAAAAAGTTTTTAAAATATAGTTTCATGCTAATATATTTTTTAATAATAACTTGCTATTTATCCCTCATAATTATGTTAATATCCTCAAAAAAAAAAAAAAAAAAAAACAAGTTAATTTTTTTTTTTTTTCATATCTACATAAATAAAAAATATAAATATATATTTTTTTTTAATTAGTATATATATTAATGTATGTATTGTGATATATTGTTGTAGTACACATATTTTAAAATAGACACCTTAGTGTGTATATTTTTTACGTATACAATATATGAACAACTTTAAGTTACATCCTATTTCTTTTTATTATAAATTTATATATGTGAATAGTGTTATTTATTAGCTACTAAAATTAAACATGATATATTTAAGAAAGTTATTCCATCCAAGTTATATCTTTATAAAACATAAATATGAAATATCTTTGATATAAAATGTTCAATTGCAATATTTTTATCCTTTATCATATTTCAAAATATTCATTATATATAAAATTTTTTAAAGAAATAAGTTTTTCTCTAAAAAAAATTAACTCCATAAATTTTCCAATTTAAATATTTCTTAATAATTTCACATTACTTAACAAAAAGAAAAAATCATTGTTTCTTAAAAAGGTTTAACCAAATTAAAAATCAAAAATTAAAAATAAAATCCAAAAAAAATAATAATAATAATAGTTAAGATATTTTTTTTTTTATTCCATAGCTAGAAAAAAATTTAAACCTCTCGAATATCTGATTTTTTAGACGTTTATTCAAAGACTTTTGTACAATACTTCCATTATATAGTTTAACAAACCTATATTTGATTGCAATAAGTATGAATGTAAAATAGATAAAATTTCATTTGTTTATTTAAGATATGCAACAAAAATATTCATAACAAAATGCATACATTAGACTAAAGTATACAAATTTTATAAAATATGTATACTAAAATACATACACTACACTATGTGTTTTTTCATATACACGTAAAAAAAAAATTATACAAATATATGTGTACGTTAATAATAATTTTATATTGTTTATTTTTATTTTTTTTTTTTTTTTTGAATCTAGGGAGAAAAAATTTAATTTTTATTTTTATGATAATAATGTATAGTGTATGTATGTTAGAAATTCACTAAGCTATGTATTATTTTAATTTCATAGATTATGTGTTAAGTTAAAAATAAATAACTAAGTATAAATTAAGTGATAAATTATTCGAAGTTAAATTAATTTAACATAATTTATTCTATAATAAACAAAATAAATAGAGATTTTTCTGTATGATCTTTATTAACTATGCAAAGAACTATACAAATTTCTGAATGTGTAATTAATCAAGTAATGAATAAGAAATTTAATAAGGAGAATGCAAAGTAGATTCACACTTTATTATTTTTGTTTATTACTAAAAATATTTTTTAATAAATAAGAAATTTTATATAATTATTACATATAGCATGAAATAAATAGTTTAATTCAAAAGAAATATACAATTCCTTAAAAATATTTAAAATTCTTATATGATTCTAAATATACTATAAAAAATATTTATATAATTTAATATAAATTAATCCTCATTCTTATTAATAATTAAATATTCATTATAAAATCCCTTGACTATATCTAAAGTAATTTACTATGTAAAAATTTATAAATCTTTATAAAGAAAATTCCCATCCAAAAAGAGGGCAATCATCCATCAAAAATTAATTCCCATCATTTGTAATGTAATTAATTTAAAATTATAAATTAATTAATTAGATAAATAACTTCAAAGAAAATAAACAAAATAAAATTGTAGATAAATGTGATCCCACAAAAAAAAATGCTTTTTTTTTATTAATATAAATATCTATATAGTCAAATTTTAACCTAAGTTATTAAGGAATTTTCTTAAATACTTAGCTTGTGCATTTAATTCTTTTTAAATTATTCTATCACTTTATTTACTCAAAAGTATTAATACTTTTTAATGATCAAATGTTGAAAAAAAAAGGAAATTTCTTTTTTTAATCTTTTAATAATTAATGAACTTAGTAGTAGAAGATTTATGTATTGTAAAAAATAAAAATGTTAAATAATTTATTTATTAATAAGATACTATTTATTTTATAAAGATATTTTTTTTTTATAAGTCTAACATTTTTAGCTTATATAAGTGCTTAATAAAAAGAAAGTTTCAATTTTTTTTTAATTTTGAATTCGTTACACTAAATAAAATATAATTTTTATAAATCATTGTGTTAATAAAAAAACTATATATAAAAAAAAATAGAAAATTATTTTATTTCTTTATTCTATTTCCTTTAATGGACCATAAAAATTTTTGTTAAATTCAACAACTTTAACTAGACAGGTTATTTATTCTTTGATATATTAATGATTTATTAATTGGACATTCAAAGTCTTTTGTAGTGCTTTGAATACCCAAGTTAATAAAGAGCATTTAGAGAACCCTCTAATTGTTTTATTTGTTGTAATATTAATTACTATAAATAATAATTAATCCCTTGTAAATTATACTACATAAATTAACACAAAATCTTTTTAATTTTTTAAATAAAATTTTTTATATTTATATAATTTTTAAATAATTTAACCCTTAATGTCAACTTTATTTTTTAATTCACAAATGAATGAACGTATACATTGTTCAATTAACATTATGCTCAATAATAAGGAATTTCACATCACACTATACATTATGCAAAAATCAGTTAATCATTTTTAAAAAAAAAAAAAAAAAATTAAAAAAAATATATTTCTTAATAAGTAACAAAAAAAAAATAAAAAAATTATTATTCACATATCAAAATATGTGATGTAGAATACTTATTTATCTAGTGTGCACATTTTTTTAAATTTTTATATTTTACTCATTTAAATGTACTTATTTTATTCGAAAATCATGTATGTACATCTAAAAGATTATCTATTTTATATTCATTTTTATTACAATTAAAAATATATCTATAATACTCTTTACTAATCAATTGTGTATGCATTATTGAAATTGCTTATATAACTTCTTAAAATTAATTAACATACATAAAGAAGTTTATTGACTTTATATATGATAAGTTTCATTTCATATAATTTTGTAATGGATTCAAAAGTCTAATTTTATTATCCTATAAATATAATATTTATTCATTATCTAAATTATTATTAAACACTACAAAGCATTCTATAAAATATAAAGCGAATAATTTTATAAATAATTTTTTTAGATATATCAACTACTTTTTTAAGATAAGTAGTATTTTTATAATGAATCTAGAACTTATATTGTTAAAATATTTAGTATGTTAAAATATATGAATTTTAACACATAGTTTTTATGTAAGGTACTATAAATATTTTGAGCATATATATATTACCTTTAATAAAAATATTTTCTGTTTATATACTTATTATATGTCCTTGTATTTACATGAAATATGTTACTTTAATTTTTCTTTTACACAAAAGAAAGATTTCTCTATCAAGAACGAAAAATTCTTTACGATTATTTTTTTTTTTTTTTTTGTGAAAATTCTTTTTCATTGATATAATATATATATTTATAGGTGGGTAACTATATTTTTTTTTTTCATGAAAAATTTATTAATTATTAATAACAAAAAAGAAAAATATTATCATTAACCATAATCAATTTATAGAAAAGATAGTATATATATATATATATATATATATATTATTTAATTATATGTCTGAAAATATGGAATATTCAAATTTTAATAAAAATAAAAGTTTTTACTAAACATTATGATCCTTTTATAAATTAGTTAATGTTTTAAGAATAATAAAAATAATTAATATAGTGTTAATTAAAGGATTACAAACAATATATAAAATGAACTATTTACTTCATTTTATGTTGTATAATTACATAAGAACTATACTTCATCTATAATAATTAATTATATGATAAATAAAATTAATAAACCTTCTCTAAATGATCTACATTAATTTTATTTTTCATGATATTATAAAACAATTTAAATAAATAATTAATGAATAAATGATATATTAATAGTCTTTTTAAATACTTTTACAGTATTCTAAGTAGATGTGATAATAAAAAGTATATATAGACGTCTTTATTTAATAGCTTATTATAGAGACACTTGTCATATATAATTATTGAGTCTTTAAAGAATTATATATATTTTATAAAATAAAAAAAAATTTTATATATCTTATTTTTTCAATTGTGCCTCTTAATGATTTTATAACCATCTATTATCTCTAAAAAATCAAATAATTTACACACAAAAAAATAAAAAAAATAACAATTATATTTATTTTTTTTTTTTCTAAAAAGTACAACCTTGTAAAAGAAAAAATTTTAAAGAAGGATAATTTCTTTTTTCAAAAGTTAATATCGACTTTTTCTATATAATTTTTTTTTTAATATTATGCACATCCTTAGATATTCTTTTAAAGATATATATCTTTCAAATGTTTTTCATGCAATGAAAACTCCATTGCATAATACTTTTGTTATATTAGAATATCAAAAAGGTTAATTATATCTATTATTAACCAATTAATAATTTTTTTATCTACAGCGTTATTACAACACGCGGAAATTAAATAAATATTAAAATATCTAATATATAAAAATATTATAATTTAAGATTTTTATGCACATTATAAAAATAATTTATTGCTAAATTCATTATTTACAAATCAAATGAAAAAAGTACATTATTTTCTCTAAAAAAGGAAATCATTTTTTTATCGTGAAATAAAAATTATAAAAGTAAATATTTTTCATTTTATTCTAGTTGAGACATATTTATATAGGGAGTTGTTAACTACTTTCAAAATATTATACATATTATTTTTTTTTAACTGTCTTTTTTAATAAAATATTAAAGAAATATAAAAAAGTTAAAAATATTTTATCTTTAATTTATAACGTTAAATATTACACCATTAGTGTATTTCATTTTTTTGAAATTATATATATTAATGCAATTTATTTTGCTTCACTTTTTTACTACATATGGCAAGTGTCTTGTATATATATTGGAGTTACACTTATTCTAAAAAATATAACTTATGTTAAAAAAATTTATGATTTTTAAAAATATTTATTTTAATAATTTCATTATTACTTATATGGTTAATTAAATTAGCTATTAAAACTTCTATATTCACAGGTTTATTTTTACTATATGATATTAATAAAAATACGTTAGCTATTCGTTAACACCAACCATTGAAAAAATATTATTAAATGATCTATAAATAATATTATATACATCTTTTTTCTAATATTTATATGAATAAATAGAATAAAAATATTTTATTTTGTGAATCCTAAATTGTGTGGACAATGTGCAACCATAAACACATAAAGTAGCTATTCAAAATGTACACTAAAAAAAAAAAAAGAAATTTTATATAATATTTTTTATTATTATTAAAAAGATAGAAAAAAATGTAATCTTTAATAGAAAAAAATTTTTTTTTTTTTGATAATGATATGTGGATTGATGTAGAGTGTATGTTTTTAAGTTGAAATGTAATATTAGAGAAATTATATTTTGGAGTATCATATATATTATTTTAAAAAATAATAAACTAATGAGTAGCATTTAATGCTTATTAGTAAAAATAAAAATTTTTAGTTTAAAATTTTAATTAAATTAAGTTTATTCTAACGCCATTTATTAATTTTTTTGATACTAGTAAAGTCATTAATAAGCAATTAATAAATAATACAAAAAAAAAAAAGTATTTTTTTTTTTTTTTTTTTTGAATGTCTTTTATTTTCAATGCATATTATTTTTTACTTATTTTATTATTTTTTTAATGATGTATATATTTTTATTTATGTATATTTTTTTTTTTAAATTTACAAAATAACATAAATGATTTAAGAAATTTTTCTTGAATGGGACTTTTTTCTACGTTGCAACGTTAACTAAATATTGAGTTGGTAAGAAAAGTAGAATCAAAATATTAGAATAAAATATTTTTATTAAAAGTATTGAATTTTCATGTAGTATAAAAAAGGAGTGAGTTGATGCAATAATTAAAATATTTTTTTTAAATTACTATGAAAGTGTTAAGTAGGAAATTTAATTATTTGTGAGTCAATAAATGAAAATTAGAAGATTTTATTTTTCATATTATTTGGTAAAATAAAGAAAAAGAAAAATAATCATATGATTAAAATGTATTTCAGTATATAATATTAAATATATTTTTCTATAACTATTATTTTTTTTACGCTTAATTTATTTCCATCTTCCTTTGATGGTTTTATGATAACAGTGCGGTATGAAATAATAACGTAAACAAAAGAGACAGGTATAATAATAATGATATATTAAAAAATATATAACTTTTAGATTTTGCATTTTAATTATTCATCAGAATAAGTATATATACAATGACATTCAAAATTAATATCATTCGGTAACAATAGTGTTGCTAATTTTTTCTCATATCTTTTAGATGCTGTTAAAAGTATAACATAATACAAATATGTATGCACACACAGCATTTATATTTACTTAACAATTAACCATATATTTAACTTTAAATGGAAAAAAAAAAAAAAAGTTCATTTAAAAAATTTTCTTTTAAAAAATTTAACTTTTTTCTAATAATTTAACTTTATTATATTGGAATTGTTTATTTTCAAGAAATGAATAAATTTTTTTCTGTGTTTAATTAATGAATTTATTTAAAAATTATTTTTATGTGATGAAAAGTGAAAATATTAAAGTATAACATTTATATTTGTTAAATATCTTATTGTTTTTATTCTTTTTAATGTTTTACATATGTTGTTGGTAAAAATATAAATAAATATGATATTTAAATAATTATAAAATTTAACTTTCTAATTTATTAAAATGTAATAGAATTAACAATTTAACAAAGTTATAATTGGTGTAATAATATCAAAATTTCATTTTTATTTTTTCATTAGTATTATTTTGGAAAAATATTTTAAAATTCATTATGTAAAAGCATAATATGTTTTTCTCCTGAAAAATATTAATATAATGAAGTAAATTAAAACCTTCATATTAATTTATATAATTCAACCATTCTATGATGTGTAGTATTATTTGGTTCCTATATATATTTGATAATTATATGTTAATTTTTTTTTTTTATTAGTACCATAAATTTTATTTTTACATATGAAATATATTAAATTAAAATGTTTTCAAATGCTTCATAACTGTTTAAAAAAGAAAAAAAAAGTGATAATGATAAAAGTTAAGGTCTTGAGATATAATGAAAAATCAAAAAATAAAATGAGAAAATTTAAAAAGAGTTTTAAGTCAATGTACCTAATGAGCTAACAATGCCACTATAACACTTATAAAATAAAGAAAAAATGATAACAAATGAGGAATCAACATATTAAATGTGTATTATTTAAAATAAAAATGTGAATGTAGAATAATAACAAAAACATAGAAAAATATAATTTAAGTATATTTTATAAAAAATGCTATTAGAAATACATATATATATTCTTAACTTAAAATAAAGACAATTTCTTTTATTATTCATTTTACCATAATTAAAAAACACATACTTATAATCTTCAATCTTCATCCTCAACATAGAAAATTAAAAATAGACAAATTTTATTAAAAAAAGAAAATATTGTTCTTCTTATAATTATGCATCTTCATTTATCAGTCGTATTGTTTCACCTTCTTTATTCAGGTTCAGGAACCATACTTAGTTCTCTAATTTGTTTAGGAAGCGATATAAATTTGATATTATATAAGCAATAATGTGCCATATTTTCTATTTCCTCCATTTGTGATTTAGTAAGTTTCAAGAATCTATCTTCTGCACCTTCTCTTATATACTTTTTTATGGATTCAAGAGACGGACATGCCAAATTTTCATCTAATATTCCTTCCTGAAGAGCTTTTTTCACATCAAGCTCTCCTCTTTCTATTGCTTCATCTAAAACATCAACTGCTACTTTTCCCAAATGTTTGTTATCCCAAACAGATGGAGGAATTTCCCTCTTACTTTCTGAGATGTCATATTGCAAATCAGATAAAGGTTTACCTTTTCTTTTTTTCCATAAATAAAAGTGTATTCCCAATGAAGATGCAATAGATACTGCTAATGCTGTAGCTATAAATGAAAACAAAATTAATTTTTTTCTTTTTTTTTCCTTAGACTTTGAATGAACTTCTACATTTGAATTTAAGTTTTTCAAAAAATTAAAATTATTATTACACAAATGTGGCGTTAAGAAATTGACAACCAACAAATAATTAAAAATATAAAATATTTTTATAATATTCATTTTGTATAAAACTTAAAGATGTAGTAATTAAATTCATAATAATGTTTATTTGAAATATAAAAATATTAGACACTTGACAATAATAAATAATTATAAGTTAAAAAAAATTAGAATAAATAATATTTAAAAAATATATTTAATTATTTTTATTATTTTTATATTTTTATTTCATTTTTATTAATTTTTTTATTACTATTTCATTATTATTTGCTATATTTTGTTTTAATTAATTTTTTAATTTTAAATCTATTTTTATTTTTTTATTTATATTATTTTTTATTTTTTATTTTTATTTTTTATTTTTATTTTTATTTTTATTTTTATTTTTTTTTTTTGTATCTTTGCTATTTTAATTACTACACCATTATTTTTATATTTTTTTTTAATTAATTTTGTTCTATTTTATTAAATTTCATTTTAATTTACTTTATTTTTCTTTTTACTTTATTTCATATAAATCTAAAAAAAATACTGAAACTCATACTTAATATGAACTAACAAAAGTTCTTAAAATATTAACATTTTATTTTATGTATGCATTTAGTGGTTTTCTCTTTATAAATATAAAAAATAACATTAAAATTTAGATTATAATAATTTTAATTTATAAATAAATTCTAAATAAATATAAAATGTATTTAAAACTACATAAAATTGAGAAATTATGTTATAGTTTACATCTTTTAATAATAGAAAATTTTTTTTTTTCAAAAATGAAATAATCTGAATTATTCTACTTTTAATTAAAATGAAATAAATTTAAGTAATATAAAATAAGATTTAAAATAAAAGATAATATATTAATTAACAAGTTGAAACATATTAAAGAATTTAAAAAACTCATACATACTATTTTTGAATGTATTAAGTTTATGTGAGATTAAATATATAAAAATAAATGTATAATTTTATGGGTGGAAAAATAAAAACAGTGTTACATAATTTTTTTTTTTTTTTTTTTTTTTTTTTTTTTCCAATATTTATAAAAAATTACAAGAAATAATTAAAATAATAGGAAATATATTTTTCTTAATACTTTTTTACATGTAATGTATTATGAATTTCATAGATATCTTTTAAAAAGAATAAAAAATATTAATAAAAATAAAAGAAATATAGAAGTTTTTTCTTTATATTTTGTTAGAAAAACTAAAAGATATATTTTTACTTTTTAAGTAAAATTATATACATGTTTATAAGATAATCTATTTAGAAGTATTAAAAATAAATGATATATTTTTACCGAATAAAAGTAGATATTCATCAGATTATAGAGACTTTTACTACTACGGAAATAAAAAGAAAAAATAAAAAAAAATATCGGTCCACTTAGAATTTAAATTTATTATATTTACATTATCTTTATTTAAAAATAAAAGAATTAGAATATTACTTAATATATCTAATAATAATTTCACGATTTTATTTATGTGATATTAAATAAATTATAAATATATAATATTATATTTTATGATAATAAAATTAAAATAAAGTTGCTATAATTTGTTTAAAATTAAATAATTTGAATCTAAATAAAAATTTAGTATATTTACTTTCTCTACCTTAGAAAAAAAAAAACGTCAAGAAGAATTACATGCATATATATATTAGTTTTAAATCAATGTGAAAAATAATATATTTATTGCAATATTCAGATATAAATTATGTAAATAAACAATTTTGTTTTACTTTTAAAATTATTATTCATATAATTATACAAAATTTAAAAGAATAATATTTTTTATTGAACACTAATAATCTTCATCTTAAATATTAAAAAGTATTTTTTTATTTTTTTTAAAATTATGTAAAAATAAAAATATTTTATTATTTTTTTATTTCTTAAATAACTTATATTTTTGTTATGAAATTAGAATTGGTTCTTTTACATAATAAACAATATGTAAATTTTTATATAAAATTTTAATTTCATTAAAAATTTTTTTTTTCAATATTTAATTAATCAGTAAAAATGTATTAAAAAAAATTATTAAAATAAAAAGATGATAATATTCTTATAAATATGCCATTTATTGCACATGTTTTTATAAGATATTTTAGAATTTTGTTTAAAGATTCTATTTTATAGTCACTTAATAAAAATATTAATTTATGTCATTTTCATATATATTTTTTTTATTTTTTTTTTTTAAATTTGCGCTTTCTTAAAATTTCTTTTTTATATTTTAAATAAATATAACTCATTTTTGTGTAAACTTTATTTTTATATCTCATAATTAAATCTTTATTAAAATTGTTTGTAAATATAAATAACACATATATCATTTACATTTAATTTTATTAGTTGTAAAATCATAAGATTACAAATTATATCAAGTATTGCTAATCATTGAATTTAAACAAAACCGAGAGTTAACTAATTTTTTATGAATTACATATATTTTGTAGCATAGATTTCTATTCTAAAAATAGATAATGAAGAAAAATTCAATATTTAAAAAAAAATTTGAAGTATCTTATTAAAAGAAAAATAATATTTATGTACATAATAATTATCATTTTTATTTTTTATTTAGTTAGTTAATTTTTATAAAAAGTTAAAGCTTTAAAAATCATAAAACATCACATTTTATTAAAATTAAGTAAAATAAAATGAAAAAAAATAAATAATATTAATTTATGTTGATTTTTAATAAAATAGAATTATGTATAAAAAATTCGATGAATATAAATCAAGCAATATATGGAGTTAAAGAATATTTTTGAAAAATTAATAAAAGTACTGTATAACTGCTATTATTTTATAGTATATAATTTTTTTCTTTTTCTTGAAAATTATTTATAAATTTATATTTACTTCAAAGTTTATTGAGCAAAACAACATAAGAATTTTATTTAGAAGAAAAAAAATAATATATGAATGATTTATATAAAAAATAAAAAAAAAAATTTCTATCTATTATTTTTTATTATTTAACTAAATGTCTATCAATTTTTAAATATATTATGGTTTTTTATTTTTTTTAGTTTTTTTCAAAGAAAAATCCATTAATATTAAAAAAAAATAAAAAAAGATATACATTCAAAATTTAACCATTTAAAAATCTTTATGGTTATCATTAAAAATAAGGAATATTTAAATAATAAAAATTAAATAAATAAAAAAAAAATGGATAATGAAATCATAAAATGTAAAGAAAAATTAATGATATACAAAGAATAAATGTATTAACTATGGAATAAATACATTGAATATTCTATAAACTTAGTATTTTTTTTAAAAAACTTAGAAGTTCTAACATCTCTAAATTACAAAATGTAATTATATATTAAGAAATATTTTACAAAAATCATTTAATTAATATAAATATTTAAATAAAAGGTCTTAAAGAAAAACTCAATTATTTAAAAAGAAAATATTATTTCTTATAATTTTAAGAAGTTATATTTATATGTCTGTCGTTTCTAAATAAGATAGAAAGAAGGGAATGTAATAATTTCATTAATATTTCCACTAAAGGTTTCTTTGTATTATTATTTATATGCACTTAAAGCCTTAATTTTTTTTTTTTAGATGAAAATGGAAAATAACGAAAAAAAGTTAATAAAAAAAGAAAAAAATGTAAAAATATTTAACAATGATTATTTTTTGTAGAAACCTTAAAATGATTAAAATTAAGGTGAAATCATTTAAAATTTTGTTACATTTTATTTTGTAACTTTATAACGAGAACTTAATATATACTCTTTTGATTTTATTTAAAAATAAAATTATAATTTCAACATTATATAAGATTACAGATAGTAATGGAAATTAATTTAATAACAAATTCTCATTAAGAAAAAATATTTTTCCTTTTAACGATACAACATTAGTATATGAGATATTAAATCAGGTATAAATTACAAAAAATAATTTTAATTAGATTCATCGTGAATACACAAAAGTGTGTTAAATACTCATTTAAAAATTAAATAATAAAGCCATTAATTAAGAAATTTACAAACCCTAAACCTTTCAAAATGTTATCGAAAATTTTCTTTCTTCCTTTATATCATATATTATAACAGAGTTTTTATATCATAAAATGAAAAAAAAAAATTTCACTATTTTTTTTTTTTATATATTTGAATTAAAAATTCATTAACTCTTTAGGATTCTTTTAATTTATAATTTGAAAAATGAACTATAACATATATTCAAATAATATGGAGAAGCATTACTTTAGTTATTATTTAATAAACATAGTCTAAAAAACTGAATAGGAAACAATAAAATTAATGGATGATAAAGGAAATATAAAAAATCGAAAGAAGAAATAAGAGAAGTAAAATATAAAAAGAAGTAAATAAAAAGATAATGCTTATTTGATAGATGAATTAAAATAAGGTTAGTATGAGTTTATTATATTGACCTTTTTGTTAACAAGTCTTTTAAAAAGTGTTACATGGTAAAATAGAATTTATCTATAATTAAAAAATTTAGAATGGTAAAACATAAAAAAAAAGAATTGAATTATAAAGTGAAATAAACTCCATAAAAAATAAATTAATTCATGAAGTGAGTATGTTTAAATGAAAAAAGAAAAAACAAAAAGGAAAATATTTGTTAGTAGATATAACTTTTTATATAAAATAAAGAAGAATCTTATTTATATATTGATGAAAATTTTAAAATAAAAAAATTCGCAGAAAAATGTGTATATATCATAGTTTAAAGTAGTGGGATGATAAGGTTTTTTAATCTTTCATTGAAAGCATAGTTCATTAATTGAATAATAATGATTCAAAAGGATTGAATAAATGAATGTACAAATATAGAAAGAAAATTAATTGTGTAAATATATAATCCATAGTTACTGTGTTGTTATTACCTAATGTATTCCTATTTTTACTAAAAATATTTCAACTATAATCAGTTAAAATTACAACATATGTAAATAAAAAAATAAATATATAAATTGAAGTATATACCTATATAAGTATATGGTCAATAATAATATATATTAATCTGCATATATACTAGTCCAATATATATA